TGCCGGTCCATCATGGTCCCATCGGCCGTGCTGCCGACCTGTTCAGCAGATCTGGCTGCCTCTCCCCACGTCCCCAACACAGTCCTGGCTTGGCTACCACCCTCACTGACCTGAAATTCTTCAAGCCTTCCCAGCGCTGACTTTCCCCATTAGCACCCACACCCCACTCTCCGCCTGAAGTCGCAGTCAACTCCTGACGCTGCCCACCCGCCTTCAAGCCGCCTAGCGTCCCCCCCTGGAGAACAGGATGCTGCAGTGCCTTGAAGGTCTCCGCCCGTGGGGTCTGCAGGCCAGGCTCTGCCCCCACCGCCGGGAGACACACGTGCGGGCCTGAAGAGAAGCAGAGACGCGGCCGCGTCTCCGGGTCTGCGGAGACAGGGTGGCAGCACAGAGCACGCATCTGGAGGCCGGTGGTGAAAAGCTGGAGGGACGTGTGAGCAGCAGCACAGAGGAGCGCTCCCCAGGGGCGCTCACCCCGACGGCCCCGCCCTCCCCCGAACACACCCTTCACGGTGCCGAGTCCGCTGGGCTTTTCCAATGCAACGTCAGGCCACCTTGGGACTTGCTGGTGCCAAAGAACATGGAATCGTAGGTGGAGGAGATTAAGAGGCACACACTGCCAGCTGCAAAATAAACGAGTCACGTAGGAGAGGTGCAGTGGGGAGAACGCTGCCAGTTAACAATGCAGTGTCTTTGTCCAGTGACAGCGCAACCGGGCTTCTCAGGTGATCAGTTTGAAAAGTATAGAAATATCGAAGCACTATGTTGTGTACCAGGCACTCACATGGTGTCGTAGGTCAGCTGTGCTCCCAAAACAAACCAGCACACAGACTCAGAAAAAGAGATCAGCTTTGTGTTCACAGAGCGGGGATTGGAGGAAGGGGAATTGGGTGAAGGTGGTGGAAAGGTACCGACTTCCAGGCATCAGGCGAGTAAGCCGTGGGGAGGCGATGCGCAGCGCGGCGCGCACTGCTGGGTTTGCACACGGACGCTGTGAATTGAGTGAATCCTAAGAGCTCTCGTCACAAGAAAGCGTTTTTCCTGTTTCTTCAATTCTGCATCTGCCTGAGCTGATGGATGTGGAGACGATCGTTCCTTCATGACGTACGTGTGTCAGATCACGACGCTGTGCACCTCAGACTTCGCGCTGCGGGAAACTGGGAGAAAATGCATACTCCCGAAAGTGTTTACTTCAGATTGCAGTCCTGTCCAGGTCGCCGGCACTGTGTTGGGGGCTAAGAGCACTGAGACGTAGAATAACCTGTGGCCAAGTTCCCAGAGTCCGAGTGTGAGAAAGGCCTAAACCGGGCGGAGGGGCACGTCGGCCTGTGAGACAGCAGACGGGAGTCACCGGTGGACCCCGGCCGAGAAGCACATCCCGACTGCACGCTGCCCTGGCGACTGGAGGGTCGGCGTTCACCAGGCGGGGCGAGAACACAGCTAGAGGGCGCTAACAGACAATGAGCACCAGTGGTTTTCTGAAGTGAGGAGGAAGTAAATAATAAATCAGATTTATATGTCTTTTTTCTCTTATGCCTTCCTCCACACAACGTCAAGACTGATCTTTTTCAAGGCGCAATTTCCAACATCCCTTGGAGAGTGTAATGCTCGACCCTTCCTGGAGACGCCGATATCACTGGTCAGGGTGTGACCTGGGCGTGGGGACTCTGGCCTGGGATCCGAATGTGCACCAGCGAGATCCACAGTCTCCAGTGAATCGGGGGCGGTGGTTCTGTGGGTCCCAACCGTCCAGAGGTCCCTGGTGATGCCTGCTTGTGAAACTGACCCACAAAGACAGCCTTATGACCTGGAAATGTGTGTATACTTTACAAGACTTTTGAAATTTTGAAGAATTTTCCCTGGAAACAAAGTGAGACCCAGGCAGGGCAAATATTCTGCTGTGTGGAATGAAACCTAACGGGGATGGACTTCACATCCCCCTGGTGCCAGGGCAGGAAAGGGCTGAGCACAGCATGGAAATTCAAAGCAACCTGGGTTCCCCCACACCCTGCAGGGCGGCCTCTCCTGCCATCCCAACCGTCAGGAAGTAAACACGAGGCAGAGGGACCCGATCTCTGGGATGGCCGAAGCCAGGGCGACCATCAGACCCAGAGCCCGAGCGCCCTCCACGATGTGCTGTCTCGCCACCACGTTTCCGCCAGACGCGTTTTTGGTGAAGTGCCCAGGCGTTGCTCCGGAAGCCCTCCGTGAAATTTCCAGAACTCTCTGTCTCCCCAGGTCTCTTGTGTTAGGTAGGACTCCCTGTCCAAGTGCCAGACGCGTCCTCACACATCCCATCAGTAAACGCCTTAGGACAGCTATTATCAATGATGTGATGTTATAGTCTATGTTGTTAGGTTCTGGATAAACCTCATAAAATATTGCATATTATTATGCATAACCCCATGTCATAATATGGCTACAAACATACTTAATTTCATGTGTTTCACATTTAAGCAGCAGTGTGGCACCCGTCTCGAAATACGGAAGTTCATGTTGAGCGGATGTTAGCG